TAAAGGCTGGTCCGTGAAAATATTGTCGGGCATAAACCGGTCCGTGGCGCAAAAAAGGTTGGGGACCGCTGGTTTAGAACACCGGCCTGATAACGTGACGGCAACCAAACAAACAGAATGAATGATTTTCTGTGAGTGAGTTTCTCATTCGCAAAGCGTGTTTTGTGAGTCTTTTAAACTGGATTTTTTAAATGTAGTCATTTTCTTGGACAATGCTTGATGCTCTCATGTTGGCGTAATAGCCTGACACCGATGGCATGGTGTGAATTGTGCCACCTGCGTGCACATAAGTGCACAAAACTATCAACTTCTACACATTCCTACAAGGTCAAAATTCCTTTTATAAAAGGTCACTGACTGAAAATAACGCAGAAGTTGAAATTTCATAGATAGCCACGTGAGTAAACGACAAATCAGGGGTCACCTAGTTGTGTGGCGTTTACTTTCAGCACTCAAAGGTGTGTGTTCAAAAAGCTGTAAAACCTGAATCTGCAGGCGTGTGATAGGTCATGTGACGTAAACACCAACTAGGTGAAGCTGTCCTTTTGTAAATCCCAAAATCATCCACCTGCTGCACAACTTGTTCTCATCTTCCTCCATCCGAGTGAACTAATGGCAGCCATTTCATTTCTAGAACGCGACTCTGGAGCTACACCCTCACGTTCGGTCATATGCTCCACAGACAGTTGCTGGAGTAGGGTGGGGGCAGGCCCCTTCAAGCTGTCAGCTGAGGAGGCTTTAGTGTGGGAGGGTGTGTTGTTCCACCTGGCGCTGCTGCTATGTGCCAGACAGGTGGTGAGGAGGAGAGAGGGCGCGAGTGAGCGAGCGAGAGAGAAAGCAACAGAGGGTGCGGTGTGGGGGGGAGAGAGCGAGAGAGAGAGCGAGAAAGAGAGAGAGAGCGTAAAGGTTGCAGAGAAAGATGGTGAAAGAAGAAAAAAACATTTCTTTAAAAAAGGCAGGAGGACAGAGGCACTGCCTGGCTGTCCTTCACACGTCAGTAAAGATAACAAATAGTCCCCATTAGGCCATCGCGTGTCTGCGCCGTCAGACGCTGTGGCGGAGCACAGACAGCAAAATCTCGCGAGTGACATTACTGTCAGTGCTAAGATAATACAACTCTGACGAGCGCTGGGCATGTTTGGCTTCACAGCTGTAGCGACACTACTGTGACAGAAGACAACATGGCAAAGACTGCCCCCACTGTCTAACAATCCACAGAACTGTGAACAGAGCAAATAAATATTCCAAAGCATCCTATACAGAAGGAATCATTTTAAATATGTTTTATTTCATTTTTAATATTTCTAATGGCTTGAGGGGCAACTGTGATCCTCTTGAAGTGCCCCTATAGACCCGTATCTGAAAAGGGGAAGCGTAATGAACAATTAAGGGAGAAATCATTTAGACACTCTGGAGGGGACCTCCGATCGGAGCCTGCAGCCCTAAAGTCCTCACCGACTTCCTTTGGGTTTCAAAGCGTCTGCCCTAAATGAAGGGTCACGTCTCGGTCGAGACCACTCTGTCTCCACAAAGTCCGCCTCACATCCTCATATATAATGTCAGCGCAAGCCACCGATCCTTCATTGAATATTCATGACTAATTATGGCCCTTGTTCATCAGCCCTCGCTGCCAGGTCTATTGTGTCCCTCTCACCTAATTATTCCTGTCCCCAAGTGACAATCAAAGGCAGGGCCACTCACCAACAGACGTGGCTCCCCTGAATACTGGGGGCTTTGTAAAAACCCGAGTGTTGGCTATGAAGAGCTGTTGTGTGATGTAAAAAGCCCAGAGAGAGAGAGAAGGGGGGGCACGAGCACTCTGAGATGACGGCTGAGGTCACGCCGCAGTGCCATTTTCATTCTAATCAGCTAATAAGCTAGACAGCACGATGACATTAACAAAACATGAAGGCCAGCAGGAGTGTCTCTTCCAAAGGATGAGGTCAAAACAAACAAATCATTAGGAGTATAAAAACTGAGCTGTGGATGATGAGGACGAGAAGCCCGGGTGGGTGTTTGCTCTCCAACGTACCGGGCATGAACGTGAAGCCGCCGGGCAGCTGCATGACCCCCGTGGAGGCGCTGGCAGTCTTGAGGACGGTCCCGTTGGCACTGATGTTGCTGTTGGCCGAGACGGGGGCCAGGTAGTTGGTGATGGGAAACGAAGATCCGCTGCTCACCTGCATGGTGGTGGAGGTGGTGGGTACTGTGGACTGGGCGCTGCTGGCCGAGCCTGGCAGGGTCGCTACTGTGAACGTCGGCTTCAGGGTGTCCTGTGGGAAGAAACCAAAGGGTTTAGTTCGGCGTTCCCCGGCTCGTGTCGAAATTCTGAAAACCTGTTCCAAACTGGAAATTTAGGACTCAATAAAGCCTCGAATTAAAAAGGAGTAAAGTGAACTTCAGCTTAAATGAGTAACTATTCAAGGTGGCGTTTTTGAGGCTAGCATTTCCAGCTCCAGAAACGCCAACAACTGCACACCTAAAACAACACAATTAATGGGGCTTTTCCTCCACGGGCAGCTGAACACGGGGATGGTTGAAGGGAGAAGCCTTTAATTCTCGGAGCATTTCAGGGACCAATGGATGGCTGACATAAACCAAAGCAGGTTTTAACAATCACAGGGCAAATGGCATAAACAAGCTAAAGAAACAGCCCGGGACCCTTCTAATTGCATCCATATGTAAAACAGTAAGCAGGACAGGGAAGCATTTCTCTGCACGACGACACCGAGCCTTGCAAAGAGCAGCGAGATGGATTCTCAAGTCAGCTCCGAATGGAGGGATTTTATTATGGATGGCAACTTCAGACTAATTGGAAAAACATTTGAAACCCCATTAAAATGCAACTCCATAACCCCCGAGAGAGGAAAAAAAACAAAAACCTATTAAAATCATAACAGTGAGAGCGAGGAACATGACTGTGCATCCTCTTTTGTGCAACACCTGACTACTCGGCATCAGCCATTTATCATCTGCAGCCGCTTCTCCTGCAATTAACATCCAGCCCTACCCGATCTGCCTCCGCTTTTTAATTTTGTTGAGTTTCTATGACAACTAACTGACCGCGTAACACGACGGCTTTGCAAAAATAAAAGAATACCTTTTTGAAAAAGGCACAGAAATAAGGCAGATGAGGCGAACTTGAGATGAAAGGAGGTGAGATGTAGCATCGCACCAAAGAGCTAATGCGAACATCCATTGAACCGCCGAGCAGGATGTGTTGGCGAGTGGGCTGCATGATAAGAGCAGAGTAGGCGTTAGGCCGAGACTATAAAGTACATCGAAACCCACCGTGCCCGTTTCTACACACTCGCACAAGCTCTTATTCACATGATACTAATGATCTCTAATAGCACAATGGGAGTAAGCCTACACATTAGAAGGCATTTAATAGTTGGCACGTCTATGTGGGTTCAGTGTTCTTTGAGGGCTTGAGTCCAGGTGATTGGATACAATCATAGGGGAGCTGCATCCACATCCAACAGGGATCCTCCGACTCTTAACATTTCCACAGAGGATTTAAAAATAAAAATAAAAAAGGATTTTTAAATTTCAAAAGCTAACCCTGATGTGGCCAACATATCAGCTCCTTTTAGTCTGAATAGAAGCAGTCATCATATATCACCCCGTCTGCTTTTTTCAGCTGCATACACAATGAAATATTACATGGATATAATACAATTGCCATTAACTTGCTGCACTATTTGTCAGCTGCCTAT